GTTCTGCACCAGACCAGTGGAGCCAGACTGCAGCTAGAGCCCATCATCATCCCTCATCTGGTTGTAAGTAGGCAATCTAGTATATTATTCGTGGCACTAAGCTCTAATTTACCTCACATTAAAGAAACACTATAGTCCCCAGAACCACTTCAGCTTAATGTAGTGGTTCTGGTGTCTATAGCCTGTCCCTGCAGGCCTTTTAATGTAAACACGGCGGCACTGCAGCACTGGCGTTAGTTAACATGGCATATCATATGGGTGGGGCATTGTGATGTCACATGGGGGGGGCGGCAAACTTTACTTTTGCCTAGGGCGGCAAAAATCCTTGCACCGGCCCTGGCTGGAGGGGGCTGTGTGAGCTGTGGCCGCACAGTGTCCCATGGTAGTTAGGGTGCCGTGCGGCCAGTACAGCTCACACAAGCAAACAGCTGATAAACTGGCCGCACTGAGGAAATGTGTATGTGTGACTGTCTGACTGTGACTGTGTGTGACTGTCTGCCTGTAACTGAGTGTGTGACTGTCTGTAACTGAGTGTGTGACTGTCTGCCTGTAAATGTGTGTGTGGGGCTGCAGGGATTTTGTAGAAGGGGGCGGGGGTTTTGTATTGGGACAGGAGTCTTTATAAGGGGGGATAAGCAGGGGATTTGTGGAAGGGGGTTGTGGGGGTTTTGTAGACGGGGCAGTACAGGATTTGTAGAAGGGGCAGGACAGAGGTTTTGTAGGAGGGGCGGGGCAGGACAAGGGTTTTGTAGGAGGGGCTGACAGCGGTTTTGCAAAGTTTACAAATCGTGTCATTTTTACAGGTTTTTTGGGGGGGGTGCCAAGCACAGGATCCGCCCCGGGTGCCAAATGCTCTAGGTACGTCCCTGATGCTATGGACTGGCCCGCCCGTTCCCCAGACCTGAATCCAATTGAGCATATCTGGGACATCATGTCTCGCTCCATCCACCAATGTCACATTGCACCACAGACTGTCCAGGAGTTGGCAGATGCTTTAGTCCAGGTCTGGGAGGAGATCCCTCAGGAGACCATCCACCATCTCATCAGGAGCATGCACAGGCGTTGTAGGGAGGCCATGTGAAGGCCACACACACTACTGAGCCTCATTTTGACTTGTTTTAACGACATTACAAGTTGGATCAGCCTGTAGTGTGTTTTCCACTTTAATTTTGAATGTGACTCCAAATCCAGACCTCCATGGGTTGAAAAATTTGATTTCCATTTTTTAATTTTTGTGTGATTTTGTTGTCAGCACATTCAACTATGTAGAGAACAAAGTATTTCAGAAGAATACTTAATTAATTCAGATCTAGTATGTGTTATTTTTGTGTTCCCTTTATTTTTTTGAGCAGTGTATTTCAAATACATAAAAATATTGTAAAAAAACAAAACATGTAAACTAATCAATATCTCACATTAACTTCTCCCAGGGATGTATTGTTAATAAATTAATATTATAAATTCCTAAAAATAGAAAATAATAAGAAAATATAGACTAATATGTGTGTGCACATATTTAAATGCCATTATTACTAAAAAGAATTAGATATAGAAATTTGTACTATATATTATGTGTATAAAAGTTACCAGAGTTGAGCGGACACCTGGATGTTCGGGTTCGCCAAGTTCAGCCAACTTCGTCAAAAGGTTTGAGTTCGGCTCAAACTTGACCCCGAACCCGAACTCCATTGAAGTCAATGGGGACCCGAACTTTGGGGCACTAAAATGCCTCTTAAAAAGTCCTGGAAAGGGCTAGAGGGCTTCAAAAGGAAGTAAAATGGGGGTAAGAGTGCCCTGCAAACAAATGTGGATAGGGAAAAAACATAAAATAAGCAGCCGCTTAGTAAATAACTCCCTAATTCCCACAGTATTAGGGAGCTATCTACCAAAAGGCTGACAGACCTAAATTGGTCTTTCAACCACATTTACTAATACTAAGTAAAGATTACTTAGTATTAGTAAATTCTGCCCCTACTCGCTCTACCGCGAGTAGAGGCATGTCTAGTAAACAGTGAGCAGCCTATTGTCCTCCCCCACGGCCCCCACCCCTGCGCGGTTGGTGGGGGCCCTACATAACAATGACGTGGGGGACCTACTGTCCTCCCCCCGACCCTCACCCCTGGGCGGCAGGTGGGGGCCCTACATAACAATGGGGGGGGCCTACTGTCCTCCCCCCATCCCCCACCCCTGCACGGCGGGTGGGGGCCCTACATACAATGAGGGGGGGACCTACTGTCATGGGTGGGGGCCCTAAATAAGAATGAGGGGGGGGGACCTATTGTCCTCTCCCCCGGCCCACAGCCCTGCCAGACTCCGCGTAGACTGAGCTCTGCAGAGCGGGGGAAGGCTTATAAAGCCTTGCCCCTGCCTGCAATTAGGATAAGAACACTCTGATTGGTTGGTTTAAGCCAATCAGAGTGCTCTGTGTCATTTTACACAGCGTGGGAAAATTCCAAAGTACTTTCCCACGCTGTGCAAAATGACTCATAACACTCTGAGTGGATGGCTTGAAATCCATCCATCCAATCAAAGTGCTCTGTGTCATTTTACACAGCGTGGGAAAGTTCTTTGGAATTTTCCCATGCTGTGTAAAATGACACAGAGCACTCTGATTGGTTAGCTTGAAATCCAGCCAGAGTGCTCTGTGTCATTTTGCACAGCGTGGGAAAGTTCTTTGGAATTTTCCCACGCTGTGTAATTTGACTCATAACTCTCTGATTGGTTACTTTCAATCAGAGTGTTGTTATGAGTCAAATTGCACAGCGTGGGAAAATTCCAAAGAACTTTCCAACGCTGTGTAAAATGACACAGAGCCCTCTGATTGGTGGATTTCAAGCTAACGAATTAGAGTGCTGTGACAGGTAAATGTAGAGACTTACCTGTCAGTCTCTTCATTTACCTGTCAGAGCACTCTGGTTGGATGGCTTAAACCCACCAATCAGAGTGCTCTGAGCCTAATTGCAGGGCGGGGCAAGGCTTTATAAGGCCTCCCCTGCCCTGCAGAGCTCAGTCTGCACGGAGCCCTCCATGGGTGAAAATGGATATTGTTTTTTGCGCTTTTTTTTTTTGAAGTGCGTCGGTTATCATGGATTTTTATTTGGCCTTTTTTGGGGCTGAAAAAGAAGATTTTAGAAGAAAGAAGACATCAAATGGTTCCCCCCCATTGTTATTTAGGGCCACCACCCACCGCGCAGGGGGATGGACAGTAGGTCCCCCCCCATTGTTATTTAGGGCCCCCTAGCTGAGTACTACCATTCCCATTATCCCTGCACTGACTGAGTACTGTAATACCCATTATCCCTGCTCTGCACTGAGTACTACGATTCCCATTATCCCTGTTCTGCACTGAGTACTACCATTCCCATTATCCCTGCACTGACTGAGTACTACCATTCCCATTATCCCTGCATGGAGTACTACCATTCCCATTACCCCTGCTCTACACTGAGTACTACCATTCTCATGATCCCTGCACTGACTGAGTACTACCATTCCCATTATCCCTGCACTGAGTACTGACATTCCCCTTATCCCTGCTATGCACTAACTGAGTACCACCATTCCCATTATCCCTGCACTGACTACTACCATTCCCATTATCCCTGCCCTGCACTAACTGGGTACTACCATTCCCATTATCCCTGCTCTGCACTGAGTACTACCATTCCCATTATGCCTGCCCTGACTGAATACTACCATTCTCATTATCCCTACTCTGCACTAACGGAGTACTGCCATTCTCATAATCCCTGATCTGCACTAACTGAGTACTGCCATTCTCATTATCCCTGTGTGGCAGTTGATATCTCTGTATCTGTGTGTCTTTCTCGCCGCACAGCAGTCAATGCGGCGTCTACGTATACTATGTCTATGGCTCACATGCTGCACTGGCCCATCACAGCCATGCCATTAGTAGGCATGGCTGTGATGGCTTCTAATGGCACACGAGTCAAACGATTGTTAATTGGCTGCCCTGCCATTAAATCGCCGAACTCCAACCTGAACATACAGTGAAATGTCCGTGTTCGGGTCCTGGGTCCAAAAAACGCACTGTTCGGTACGAACCCGAACTTTTCAGTTCGGGCCTGCTCAACTCTAAAAGTTAGAAAGAAAGAAAATCTTCATATAGGCTGAAGGAATCGGCTTTTCAATTGTGGACAATGTTAAACCTTTCTCCAAGGCTAAAGGCCTTAGAAAAAGTAATACCTGTCGAATTAAATATACCTTTTTTGTCTAGTTCTCAATTCCTCCTCCTTGTTTTGTCCTCATTGGTCCGATGATTCTCCTCAGTTCTTCTTTTTTTTTTGTGGTGTATCCATTTCTGTTTCCAGCAGCAAAAACCTGATCGGGTTTTTGGTCTGACTCCTTGTCTAAATTTTTTTTAATAATTATATTTTATAGTGTTTTATTATTATTAATTCCCGTAACTTGTGTATATGTATTTTTTTTATTAGTTGGTTACCTTAATGTGTTCAGGAAATTACAGTATATACTCGAGTATAAGTCTAGTTTTTCAGCACATTTTTTGTGCTTAAAAACCCCCACTCGACTTATACTCGAGTCACTGTCTGTATTATGGCAACTTAGAGAGCCACGGCCGTCAGAGCAATGGCAATGATCCGCGTGGCAACCAGACCGCGAGACTTACAGTGGAGCTGACCGGAACGGAGGAGAAGGGAGCTGACAGGAGCTGCAGGAAAGGTAAGTAAATGCTTCCTGCCAGCCCCCCCACTTCACAGCCCATGCCACTGGACCACCAGGGATTAAGATTGCCCCCCTCCCTGACCAGTTAACAAGCAGGGAGGGGGGAAAGAAAAAAATTAAAATAATAATATTAAAATAAAAAAAATTAAAATAATAAAAATGCCCTCCCCCCACCCAGTTCACACACACTACACAAACACACACTCTGCATTATATACACACTCGGCATTATATACACAGTGTGTGTATATAATGCAGAGTGTGTGTTTGTATGAGTGTATGTGTGTGTATATAATGCAGAGTGTGTGTTTGTATGAGTGTGTGTGTGTGTATATAATGCAGAGTGTGTGTTTGTATGAGTGTGTGTGTATATAATTATAAAAATCACAGAATTTCATAGCCCCAGGTTTTACCCTCGACTTATCCACAAGGTATAGCATATTTCACAAAATTGTTGGTCACAAAACTGCACTCGACTTATACATGAGATCGACTTATACACGAGTATATACGGTAACTGCTCTTTGTGTTGACTTGTGTTTCTTGGGGGTTTTAAAATTAAATGGTGACAGTTTTTGTAATTTTATCTATAATGTGTGGAAAAAATATTGCTCTCTTTATATTCCTTATCTCTTTTGTGTTTCCCATTTTAGTTTGTGCTATTTTCTCTTCCAAGGCACGTATATTGCACATTTCCTGGCCATATCCATGGCAGCACAACAATGGGTAGCTCCTCCCTATCCCAAAAAAAACCTCCCACCCTCAGCTACTTTCCTCATTCTGAAGGTTTCGATATTGTAAAGAAGGTCTTAAATATAAGGGTTTTTCAACTGCAGTAATTAATATCCTTCAGAAGGCCATGGAAAATGTATATCCTCGGCTACCTTTACAGAGTTGGGATGCCTTTTTTCCTGGTCTATTTCTAATTAGGTGATCATTAAAATTCATTCTACCAAGGAGGTTCTAAGTTGTTGAATCCAGGACTCATCTAGGAATTGGCCACATCACTTCAGAGGTACATATCTCAACACTCTCTGATCTCTCTTTTCATGAAAGGGCTTTGATATGGAGGTATCTAAATATCTGTTGGCTGTATTTATAGGATCCTTCGGTTAACCATTGCTCCCCGTGGAAATCTTCCCTGTTTTTTTTAAGGCTCTGAAATCTTTACCCCTTTTAACCATGAGACTATCTCTCCACAGCTGCTTAATATTAAGTTAGCTCTATTAGTGACATTAGCATCGGGCTGAAGGATATCAGATCTTCAAGCACTATGAGGGTTTGCATAGAACCCTTTACTGCCTTCCACAATATATCTAAAGCCTATTGATTAGAAAGTAGTCAGTAATTAAACTTTCTCCTCCTGTCCTAGATAGATGTCTTAAGATCTATTTCTATAGATCCGCTATCTGGCTTTCTCCTGATAGTCTGTGTAGCGGAGCTGCAATATTAAAACCAATATCTGTGCTTATAGACTGTAAGGACATCCAATAGAAGCATAGTTCAGCAATACAATACCACGTTCCCAATAACCGGACAATACACAGTTTTGGGAGTCAACTGATTTTTATTGAGCCACAGCTGGCTTTTATGCAACTCCCCATACAAGGGGTTTCTTTAATTACATTCCAGGGGTTTTCCCTTGGTGGACCTTGTTGGGGACAGGGGACAAAGTAACATTTCCCAGACTCCTCCTCTGTACCTGGGAGATAATTGAGTGAGGACAACTCTTTAATTACACTATCTCCCAAGTACAGAATATATACAATATTTCAAACCATCAAAACATACTGTAACATTAGTCAGAACTCCACAACTTCACCGAATAACAGGGATCTGAGTGCCCACTTTGTCTAAATATCGCTCAGATCCGTTTGATAGAATAGGAACGCCATTCGAGTGAAGTTTAGACCGGTCAACCACAAGGTGAAGCCCCAAAATAGTTCCAGGAGGTTTTATGCTTTGACCGGTCTTCTTCCGGGAGTATTCACCATTAAAATAACAAATGTGTCACGTATTCATCCGCTTATAAAAATGTGATTAATAGAATTTATTTTTCAGACAGGAAAAGTTGTTCCGAACAACATTACTGTCCTGACAGGAAAGGTTGTGCTGAGCAGCAATCAAATCCACATGAGGGTTTGTGCTGAGCAGCAATTTGCAAATGGGAACCTGGTAACTGCCTTTGAGGTCAAAGGCCGATTACAGCCTATCAGATCCAGAAGAGGGGTATTTAGGCCCAGTTCTCATCCTGCTCAGTGCCCTGTCATGCTTTCCCTTGTGGTTGTCCGAGAGCGCGTTATTGATTCTGGTTATTCTGGTACTTTGGCATTGATTTCGACTTCCCTGTTTTCTGGCATCCCTGACCCCTGGCTTTTCCTTATCGCTATGTCTCTTTCTGTGTTCCTTGACCTCAGCTATTCCTGACTATTCTTTGGTACGTTAGTCCGGCCATTCTAAGGTCCGGTATACGCTACCTATCAGTCCTCTGAGTTACACAATTCTACGTGCTGGATCAACTAGTAATCCTGATATTACGACATGGCCATAGATCCTGTAGAATTGTGTAAGCACATAGCTGCTTGTGAACGGAAACTGGAGGAAAATGATCACCGCATGGATCAATTTGCCCAGGCCTTCAGTACGCTTCTTACTTGAACAGCACATCTGCAACCTCAGGCCTCTCCTCCACCTATAGTACACAAGGCACCTACTATCTCCCTATCACCTCCTCTGCATTTTATGGTAATATTCAGGGCTCGAGTCCTGCAGGAACGCGTGGGAACGGCGTTCCTGCACTTTTTTCACAGCAGGAACGCCGTTCCCCCTGCAGGCACTCAGGGGGCGGCAAAAAATGCCGCCCCCAAATGCCCCCCCTTGTTTCCCCTGTCATGGGGGGGGGGGATTGCCCCCCGGCGCACGTCTCTCTTCCTGTCACACGCGGAGAGGGAGCTGTGTGCTCTCTGCTCCCTCTCGCCGCGCGGGATGTCTGCTGATACTGGGAGCCGGGTTGATGACGTCATATTCCGGCTCCCAGCATCAGCAGACATCCCGCGCGGCGAGAGGGAGCAGAGAGCACACAGCTCCCTCTCCGCGTGTGACAGGGAGAGAGCCGTCCTCACTGCAGCCCCACTGGACCCCAGGGAAAGGTAGGGATGCTGGGTGGGTGGGTGGGAAATGTTAATTTTTTTATAATATTATTAAGTTGTATATATGTATGTCTGTGTGTGGATGTGGATGTGTGGATGTCTGTGTGTGGATGTGGATGTGTGGATGTCTGTGTGTGGATGTGTGGATGTGGATGTCTGTGTGTGGATGTCTGTGTGTGGATGTCTGTGTGTGGATGTGGATGTGTGGATGTCTGTGTGTGGATGTGTGGATGTGGATGTCTGTGTGTGGATGTGGATGTGTGGATGTGGATGTCTGTGTGTGGATGTCTGTGTGTGGATGTCTGTGTGTGGATGTGGATGTGTGGATGTCTGTGTGTGGATGTGTGGATGTGGATGTCTGTGTGTGGATGTCTGTGTGTGGATGTCTGTGTGTGGATGTGGATGTGTGGATGTCTGTGTGTGGATGTGTGTGGATGTGTGTGGATGTGTGTGGATGTGTGTGGATGTGTGTGGATGTCTGTTTGTGGATGTCTGTTTGTGGATGTCTGTTTGTGGATGTCTGTTTGTGGGTTTGTGGATGTGTGGATGTCTGTTTGTGGGTTTGTGGATGTCTGTGGATGTGTGGATGTGGATATCTGTTTGTGTATGTGTGGATGTCTGTTTGTGGATGTGTGGATGTCTGTGGATGTGTGGATGTCTGTGGATGTGTGGATGTCTGTTTGTGGATGTCTGTTAGTGGATGTCTGTCTGTTTGTGGATTTGTGGATGTCTGTTTGTGGATTTGTGGATGTCTGTTTGTGGATTTGTGGATGTCTGTTTGTGGATGTGTGGATGTCTGTTTGTGGATGTGTGGATGTCTGTTTGTGGATTTGTGGATGTCTGTAGATTTGTGGATGTCTGTTTGTGGATTTGTGGATGTCTGTTTGTGGATTTGTGGATGTCTGTTTGTGGATGTGTGGATGTGGATGTGTGGATGTCTGTTTGTGGATTTGTGGATGTCTGTTTGTGGATGTGTGGATGTCTGTTTGTGGATGTGTGGATGTCTGTTTGTGGATTTGTGGATGTTTGTGGATTTGTGGATGTCTGTTTGTGGATTTGTGGATGTCTGTTTGTGGATGTGTGGATGTCTGTGTGTGGATGTGTGGATGTCTGTTTGTGGATGTGTGGATGTCTGTTTGTGGATGTGTGGATGTCTGTGGATGTCTGTTTGTGTATGTGTGGATGTCTGTGTATGTGTGGATGTCTGTGGATGTCTGTTTGTGTATGTGTGGATGTCTGTTTGTGTATGTGTGGATGTCTGTGGATGTCTGTTTGTGTATGTGTGGATGTCTGTGGATGTCTGTTTGTGTATGTGTGGATGTCTGTTTGTGGATGTGTGGATGTCTGTTTGTGGATGTGTGTTTGTGGATGTGTGTTTGTGGATGTGTGTTTGTGGATGTGTGTGTGTGGATGTGTGGATGTGTGGATGTCTGTTTGTCTCAGTGTGTGTAGGAGTGTATTTATGTCTGTTAGCGTTTGTACGTGTGTATGTGAGTGTATGTGCTTCTGTTAGTGTATGCATGTGTATGTTTGCAATTGCATGTATGTGCATACGTTATTGTAAGTTTCTGTCAAATAAGTGAGAGTCTGTCATTTAGTGTGTGTGTGACTATTAGTGTGTGTCTCTCTGTCAATGAATGAGTGTGTGTCAGTGAATGTGTGTGTCAAATCAGTGACGTCTGTGTGTTTGTCATTGAATGTGTGTGTTACTTACAGTGTGTATCTGCCAGTGTGGGTGTCTGTCAGAGAGTGTGCTTAAAGGGACACTATAGGCACCCAGACTACTTCAGCTCCTTGAAGTGGTCTGGGTGCAGTGTCCCAGTCCCCTTAAACCTTCTCAGAAACTGCAATAATTACCTGAGGGGTAACTCCAAGTCTAGTGGCTGTCTATCAGACAGCCACTAGAGGGACTTTCGGGTGGTTAGGTGACCAAAAGTCACCTAACTGATGCTGGACGTCCTCACCCTGTGCATGAGGACATCCAGCATCTGCTAAATACCCATAGGATTTTAACCCCTTCAGTGTCGAGTGGGGGAGGGGAGGACATGAGAGGAGGGGGGCACTATATGGAATTATAGTGCCAGGAAAACAACTTTGTTTTCCTGGCACTATAGTATTTCTTTAAAAGGAGCAGGGAAAGGTGGAGTCTAAAGAGGAAGGGGTGGGTTCTTAATCAGGAAGTGGTGCACCCTTGACATGAAGGAGTGGTAAATTTAGATTAGGGGGGTGCTCTATAGTCATGTCTAGGGCAGCATAAAATTAAAATACACCACTGTGTGTGTGTGTGTGTGTGTGTGTGTATGTATATATATATGTATGTATATATATATATATATATATATATATATATATATTACATATAAACA